AAGATGGTTGAAAATTAAAAATGAGAGAAAGAGAACAGCAGCTGGAAGTATCAAACGTTCAGGAGCCATCAATCTGTTTCACTCCAGGGCAAAAGTGGAAAAATATCTGCATGTCTAACACTAAGAAAAACTGATGGCATAATTCAAATTTGAGGCACAGTCACCTAAAAATAAAATTCAGTGTCACTTAGAAGGGTTGAGTTTTAAAAAGCTTTACAATAAAGTATCCCCAAAGTGCCTTGTTTTTTTTAAAAAATCATAAAACTTTCCTTAAAATTCATGTGTGTAAGGCCCTGTATTCATATTGGCTGCAAAATTGCATAGCCCAATCTATGGCAAATTTTGATGTAGTTGGGCCTTTGGTAATGCTCCCAGAGAATCCATCATTACAGAGGGTTGTGGATGGTTAGTAATGATCAAGGGAGAAAAGTCATTAGGATAATGTAATTCTTGTGGAAAAATTAATTGAGTTTCATCCATTATTTCCCAGCTACAGCTAGAATATTTAAAATTAAATTACACAGGACATAACCTATCTGCCTGGGTTTCTCTAAGTAAATATCAATACTTTTTTTGGTTTTGGGAGATAAAATTGGAAGTGAAAAAATGGACCACAGCCACAGCAGATACATGTCTGTATTAGTTTTGCAGCATTGAATTACGGACGTGGAGAGAAGTCAATACAGGGTACTATTTCCTCCCCATTACTCCCCTTCATTCTTAAATATTTTCATCGCCTTCTGCCTGACTTTAGAAGAAAATAACATTTCAGAAATAAACTGCTTTTTTAAACATATATACAGGCAGTTGTAACTGAGTTCCTTAAAATCATCAGTCATTATCAAGGTTAAGTGGGCAGGTCACTCTCTGAGGAAATTGTCAGTCGTGGCTGGTTTGTATTTGAAGAAAGTACAGGGAGTCAGCTTCTGAATTCCATTCAGATTTTTTTTTATGGGCAGATCAAAATCACTTGGGTTTTTTTTGTCCATGGGCATAGCAAGGAGAGCTATGGCGTCTCTGTTGGGAACTTGGGTTTATACCTTTTCAATCTCTCAGATTTTTATAGCTTGAATTCATTCAAAAGCATACACAATCAAAGATTTAAGACAGTAATTTAAATTGAGAGTGATTTCTTTCAGAGGAAGTACACTTCCTTTATCTTGGGGTTAATGAAATGACTGCAGAATTAAACATAAACAGAATTCAATCTAAAACTACTTTTCTGTTTGCTTGATCACAAGTATATTCAAGCTACAAAGGTTTTGCAGAGTACTTAAAGTGCAAAATGGCATTCCCAAGGTACCCTTTGATTTCCTTCTGCCTGCACTATGAACAGAAATCAGTGATTTTTGAGCCATTAATAATAACAAAAGAGGGTTTTTTTCTGGATTTCAGAATTACTCATAAGCCTGTTAGAAGTCTCACTCTATGTTTATGAGGGACCAACCAGAACAGATATTCATTGGTGCAAACGAGTCTGGCATTTAGGTCAGATATTCTTCATATTTACCTGAATTTATAAAGGTGCCAATACAGTCTGAGTTAGAAGTGAAAGGATAATCCAGGGGCTTTGCTCACTAAACGTGACACTGTACTACGACAGAAGACGTAATCTTTAGAAAGGACTAGTTTGCCCAAAAGTTTGGGGTTCTTTGCCTGCCGTGTCATTTTTCTTAATAAAATAATTTACGTCCAATTTCACCTACTTTAGATTTAAAAAGATACTTCTGCCATGTCCATCCCACTCTGGTTTTCACACTATGATTGTCAGACGACCAAGATCCTTCTTTGCCCTTGCTAGAGACGTCTGGCAAAGCACATGGCATGGCCGTTGCAAATCTTGTCTGGAGAAATCCTTTGGTGAAGCAGGCTCTTCACAGGAAAAGGTTCGACTACTGTGCCAGTCACAAGAGAAGCCAGCGCAAACTCATCACACGACCAACCCATGCTCTGCTCTTGTCAAGCCATGGCTGATTTATACCCGCTCTTAGCCCGTGGTTTGGAATTATTAGTGTGCAGCAGGACAGAACCTTTTTAACAGTTAGAGACCCCCGTTAGATCATGTCATAGAGGAGCCAGGGGAGAGCAGCTGAGAAGTGGAAGCCGTGAGCTGGCTTGAAGAGTGCTCAGCTGGAGGTTTTTGGTTGCTTGATGGCATAACGGTGCCCCTGCAGATGGAGGGTTGGGACAGTTCTGGAGTTTGGAGCAGACTGTTTACCTTTTCTTGGCAAGGGAAGATGAAGTGGGAAAAGTAAAGTAAAGTAGGGGACAAAGGCCCAACAACCGGGACGAAGATCTCCAGTTGGAATTCAGGTGGCTGCAGTTTAAATTCCCTCTAACAGTCTCACTGCTGATTGCTGCTATTCATGACAAGTGGCTTTGTTTTAATTCTGAAAGATCCCAGAGCAACTGCTCTGCCGTGAGTTTTCTCCTCTGAATCACTGCAATACTCTCTTTTTTGATTTTCTCTCTTGACCCTCTCCTCCCACTCACCTCTTTCAACACTTGTTTGGCTACAGTCAAAGGGATAGGGGGGAATTAGTTTTCTCTCCCTGTTTCGCACGGCCACAGCGCTACTGCAGAGTGTCTTCCTCAGATTTTGGGAGGAGGAAGGTTAGTTGGCTGAAGGCCAGAGATTGTGCCAGCATCTCTAGCAGGGCACAAGGTGCAACGCAAAGTGACAATTTAATCTGAAATCTCCGCTGTTCATCGCATGCGGTTCTGTTAGACAATCCCAGGGCAGTCAGCCTGGATTCTTCCCCTGGGAGGCGAACGTCAGGCCCAGCGGGTTTCAAATGCCAACGGTGCTGCTGTGATCTGTGGATCCGAGGTGTGCAGTGGGGCACAGCAGGAGTGGCTACACCCTGTCCTCGCTCTGCAGCTCAAGGGGGGGCAGAACTGGGCAGATGCAGCCGCCCTCCGTTACCTCTGTAACCTGTTACCTACCACCTGGGCTCTTCAGCCCCATTCCCTTTGCAGCTGCTTCTGACCTCCGCTCTCACAATTACCCGTGACACGGCCCCTCGTTAGCTAATACGCTGCTGGGAGGACTTCCAAAGCTTGACCTTTTCCAGGACTCCCTGTACTGTATTTCCATGCTTGAGATAGTGACGATCGTTGTGCTGGGCACACAGTTGAGCTGATGAGGTCTTCTTCAAGAATTCCTGTCTCTCTGTTTTCTTTTTTATCCGTGTTCCCTTTTTTTGTCTGAAACAACTAAAATCTATTGATCTCCAAGGTTCGGTGATGCTTATGTATTCATTGAGAAGGGAAGAGCTCAATTGCAGTTAGGATCCTGGTAGCTTGGACTGGTATTTAAATCTACGTTTCTTTCTCCCTCCTGATTTTTAAGAGACGCTTCAGTTTACTGTTATTTGTAATTCTTGACTGAAGTTTTAGCATAGCCCTAGATCAATAGGGATGGGCTCTCAAATGGACAGTGTGAATTATAAATCCCACGTTAACAGTGTGGCACTCTGTCCAAGGAAAGTGCCTGTTCGTTTCGCTGCCACTTCGTGGCATTCTTACCTGGGCCGTTGAGTCCCACCTATCTAACTCCCCTGCATAGTTTAGACCAGAGCTGCTTTGAGGAGCACAGCAACGGTAACATTCGTCGTTCGTGCAGTGCTGACAGTAGGTAACGATGTGAGCAGTGGATTCTGTGACGCCGTGCGGTGTTAACGACAGCAGGAACAAGCTTTGCAGCTGACCGCACCGTTTGCCTTGAAGGATCGTTCCAGGTAACAAAAACCAGAGATGTGTTGCGCAAGAACTGGTTTCTCACGCACCCAAGCACTGTTTTGTTTCCCAATAGAGAAGTTATAGGACACCAGCAGTTTTTCCCTGTCACAAGGATGTGTTGTTGATAATAATAATATAGAAAACCCCATATTTCTAGACACATACTGTGAATAATCAAAATCTGAGAAACTCTTCTGAGCTAGGAAAAATTATACTGGGAAATATAAATGTGACTGCCTGTGTAATGCTCTGGGTTCATCGGTTACAAATACCTTAAGATCCTTTTTGCCTGCATTTTCATTTGCAGGCTGTCACTGGATTGCCTGTGAGCTGTCAGGTGAATGTGCTGCCTAAAACGCCGATAATACAATTAAAATTAGGGATATCTTGCTATGCCCCCTTTTGTGCTTTGCGACCATGTGCTGTGCTACCAGCACAAAGGTCTCTGCTGAATTACAAGCTAAGCACCAAGTGGCATACGTGGGCAAGATAACCTGTTCCATAGTTTTTCTGTATCATGTGCATTCTTTTACAGCCCCTCCTGCTACCAGTGTGTTTTCTGCATAACTGTAATGCTGCTTTAGGAATAACCTTACAGTTGTTCAGCAGTAATCAAAGTGTTCTCCACCCACCAGCATTGCCTTATGGCTGAGCCTGGTTAATAGATTGGCTCTGATCTCGAGTAGCTACCGTAAGATGGAATATCTGGGATATCGTTAAGTAATCTGAACTGGAAAATTAAAGAGAGTTTGCAGCTGCGTGATGGGAGACATCGGAAAGACTGTTATTATTAGAATCCTGTTCTGCCCATATTGCTGCAGTAAATGCTCTTGGCTCTTGTATAGTAATATGCTTTATGAAACACCCTTAGAAACAATCAGTTCTCCCCAGTGTCAGCTCTGCTACTCAGGGGCTAAAATCAATAGGAGCTTACTGGCTAAAATCCAGTTTCTGTGCATTGCTCCCGAAAATGGAAGGGCTAGACTTTGCATCAGATTAAGCTGAGTAAAATAGATTTTTCCATCAGGATGTAAAATATTAAAGATAGATGATTTTACTTCATATTCTTTCATTTCTACTTTCCTGCTTTAGTATTAAGCTGAATTCTAAGAAATTCTGTCGTCCCATTTAGCCAAGAGAATGCTGAGAATGTAACATGTTTCCGTGGCTGCTTAAAGTCTAGATTTCATTTGGTGCTTTTTATTTGTTTTCCTTGCTAGAACGTGGGCGTTCATATTTATGACCATTTTGGTTTTCAGCACCTCCCAGATGGCTCTGCCCCGAGTGCACACGCTGAATTTCATCTTCTGCCAGATCCTTATGAGGTCAATCGAAGAAAAACAAGAACAGCTCCAAAATGCTCTGACCCTACTTACAACGAAATTGTGAGTACCGTTCACTTTCTTGCACCATTTCTTACCAGTTGTTTTCTTTGCCCACTGTTGAAATAAAATAACAATGCAGCCGTATTTAGGGGTGTTACCGTGAGCAGGATCGGAAAGCAGGAACGTGTCATGAGCTGAACAACAAATGGGGGCAACCTTCAGCTCTGCATCTTTCGCCGAAGTGAAACGGTCTCTCTGTGTTGGACTATTCACATGGCTGCATCTCACGCCATAACCACAGGTACACGTTAGCCAGATGAGACCAAGACCCATTGCACCACAACCAGGCTGCTTTGAACGCAGCTCTGCACAGTAGCATAAAAGGTACTGATTGAACGGATACCGATATTCAAATTCACAGTTGAAAATAGACAACTACATTGGTAGTCACTGGCCTAACCGGTAACACAGTAAGAAGTAGCTCAGTTCTCTTTCTGGCAAAATGCTGGCAGTTCACAGCCATGCTCACACCTCTGGCATGGAAAGAAACGTTCAGGACAGAACAGGAGGTAACATAAATGATGTTATTCTTTAAGGGCAGGCAAGATTCAAACAGTAGGTGGGATTGGCGATTATAATTATCACGAATTATAAATCTCCTAAAGATCTCAAAGCAACTTACAAATGCTCTTTGAGCAGGCTTTAAAGTAGAAGGCATGGAAAATATTACCACTCCACCCTGTTTCATAGGTAAGATATGATGAAGCTTAAGTTAGTCAGCTGAGACTAAGAGTCCTTATCTCCTAGTTTCCCAGTCACGGAGTTTTAGTATTTTTCTCTTTCTTTTCCCACATCCATTTGATTACAAAAGTTACCTACTAACACCGATGACTTCCAGCCCTGCTGTAAGTAGGCTTCTCAAGTTGTATTGCTGCTGTGACAGGTTTCCCTCCCTATGGCACTGCCATCGAATAATGGGGAAGTAGGCTTTATTTTCTGTTATGTTCTTTCCCTTTTTTTGCAGTCAGACAGTGGAATGAGTCTAATTGACCCATCTAAAGAAATTCCTTTACATTTGAAGGATTTTTAAAGCAAAGAAATACGATTATATAATAGCATCCATTGTAAAATAACCAAATTGGACTACAGACAAGACTCAGATTCTACACTGGAAGACATTTATCTTTCTCATCATTATTAGGTCAAGCTGAAGGCCAGAAAATCCAAAATCCTGTCTGCAGTCAGGCAGTAGTCACTGGGAGGAGATTTCATTGTGGTTATGGAGCATCCCACTGTTGTTAAGAGAAATTCCGTGTAAACTTTAATATCCTTCACTCCAAACTTAGATCCTTCTTCACAGATGCTCAGTCTTTTTCACCAGGCACTGCTAATCGCGGTGGGGACATATGGTTCCATTGAACTTGGACATTTAAAACCCAATGCTTGTGCTGTTAGCAGCTCTGTTCTTCCATATGTGATATCATCCTGTACGCATTTTCTGTCCAAGGCTGGTAGACTGAGGCAGTAGCTGCCCCAGGGAAGAAAAACTACTAAAAATATGTCAGCTGTCTTTTAAGTTAGTTACTGTCCAAAACGCTGTGTACCAAAATGTACTAGCCTTTTTTATGAGTTCATAAGCTTTTATTAAAGCCAAATGGCTGGAAGGAAGCTGTATATTAATTTCTCTCTGTGTTCGAGGCTGAGAAGATTCTGAAATGTGCTTCTCTCGGGTATTTTTGGTTTTGGTTTTGTACTTTTATTGCTTCTGACTGCCTGCAGCAAATTATCAGCTTTGTAAAAGTGCATTTTATTTTTGATTTTTACTCGTGTGTGAGGGTGAAGATGTGAAAATCCAGGAGGGCTGACAATAGAATGAACTATGCCGAATGTTTTGGGGTTGCTTTTAACAAGCACTCCTTTTTTTCTCTTGTTCCATTATTTGGATTTTGGAGTTTGTTGCATTCACACTGGTATAACATTGTATTAAAAATGATGATTGAGAAGAAAAGGGGAAAGAACACAGAAAAATGGGATTCAGTGTAAAGAAAAAAAACCCCATACCTGCGCATAGACCACTGCTAGGAATAAATGGAAGTTACTGGGGAGGTTCCAGAGTAGAATCGTAGAATGGTTTGGGTTGGAAGGGACCTTAAAGACCATCTAGTTCCAACCCCCCTGCCATGGGCAGGGACACCTTCCACTAGACCAGGTTGCTCCAAGCCTCATCCAGCCTGGCCTTGAACACTTCGAGGGATGGGGCATCCACAGCTTCTCTGGGCAACCTGTTCCAGTGCCTCACCACCCTCTCCGGGAAGAACTTCTTCCTGATATCCAATCTAAACCTCCCCACTTTCAATTTAAACCCGTTCCCCCTTGTCCTGTCACTACAGGCCCTTGTAAAAAGCCCCCCCCAGCTTCCTTGTAGCCCCGTCAGGTACTGGAAGGTGCTATAAGGTCTCCCCGGAGCCTTTTCTTCTCCAGGCTGAACAAGCCCAATTCTCTCAGCCTGTCCCCATAGCAGAGGGGCTCCAGCCCTCGGAGCATCTTCGTGGCTTTCTCTGGAGTTGTACAAACTGGTTCATATCCTTCTGATGTTGAGGGCCCTAGAGCTGGATGCACCACTCCAGGTGGGGTCTCACAAGAGCAAAGTGGAGGGGAAAAAGAGCAGAGTAGAGAGAGAGAAAAAAAAACAGTAAAACCTAAGAAAGTTAAAAAATTGAAAATAAATCTGAATGAATCAAGTTTAGACTCTTTCCAAGAAATCTTGCAATGACCAGAACCCACTGCAGTGAGGTCTTGCTCGTATGTGTAGCATTTGCCCTCAGAGATGCTGCCAGGTCTCAGCTCTCTGGAGTGCCTGCTTGTACACGCACCCACGGAACCAGCAGACCTCCGAGGCCAGGTGAGTGTGCACTGAGTCAGAACGAGAGGGAACTCTCTCCCTCCCGCCCTTGGGGTGCAGCCAGATGTGAGCACACACACCTGGGCCGTACCAGGATGATGCTGTCAGTGCAGGTGCCCTCGGCGCAGAGGGGATGCGGGCCTGCCACAGCCAGGGTGGCACAGCCGAGGCTGATGGCAGGGGAGGAGGGGAGTTGCACCGGGAGCCACAGCCGCTCCCTCCAGCACGGTGCATCAAAGCCAATTTGGACAATTAAGGGGAAATCTAGGAACTGTGCCATGGCTACCGAAGGAGAAACAACTGTCCCACATTTGCAATTAAAATGTCGTTAGACTCCTGTGGGTCAGCAGCGCTTCTCTTCTTGGAGCCAGGAATACTTGCATTCCAGCCCTACCTGTCCCACTGATTTGCTGCGTGGCCATGTGCAGCTCACCTCCATTTGGTCTAGCTGTATAAACGGGAGGCAGACGTTCTTACTACACAATCCTTTCAAGATTTAACTGTTCTGATTATGAAATTCTGGCAGGTGCCATTTGTTTTATCCAAATCCTAATTCAGCTCCAGACCTTACTTCTGCCCCTCCATTCGGATCTATACCTTGCTCCAGCTGAATTTGCAATACCGTTTTAGGAACAGTTCACTGGCGTCATTTGAAAACCATCCACCCTGCATTGTAAGGTCTGTCCTTCCTCAAAGCTTAAAGCCTCTTTTTACCCAGAGATTGAGAGTTGGTCATTACCCCAGTTCACGCCGGTTGTCATCCACCGTGCTGAAGATTTCTTAGCTCTTGCAGCTTACGGGTACATTTTTTGGTGATTCAAAGCAATGCCTGAAGATGACATCTTTAATATATTGGCAGAGAAACAAGGCAGATTCCTATGGTAACATCAGAATCACTTCAGTAACCAAATCATACTTTCATTCTAAGTTCCAGTATCGCTTACTGTACCTGCCCTTGCTTTTCGGATTTCCTTCATCATTTCTCTTTGAGTTTGGTGAGAAGATGCCATTGGAGGACAGAGAAGCTGAAATCTTTTAGTTCACATACAATTTGGTGAAACAGGCAGAATAAACATTGAAACCGAAAAACATCAGGCACGGCTTTCATGACAGCTGTTCCAAACTACGACTTCCAAAGGTTTCTAAACAGGAAAGGAAATATTGCTCCCTGGTAAGACTTTTCTGGTAAAGTCCAGTGTAAAAGCATGAGGGAGACCATTTTTCTTTCCCTCACAACCTGTGGCAGTGGCTGTTCATCCCCACAGCACCGATTATCCCCCTACGGTAGAGCACTTGGTGTCCTGCTCAGCCTGAGGAACATCGCAGGGGCTCGGCCTTTCTAAACTCTGTCCCTGCCTGGAGGACACCTCCCACGGCCATTTCTGCTTCTTGTAACTGGAGGTACAAGAGGATTCAGCAGTCCAGCCCCCCAGCTAGAGGGGCTGGGTCTGACTTTTCCATCCCTCAGCAGTGCCATGGTCATGGGCTGCATCCAGACTGCACGGTAAAGCCAAGCAGGTTGCATGGCCAACGCCTCTCAGGCAGTTCCTCCTGAAGCGACCGTATGTCACTGCATTTGCTTAACTGCACAGAGAGATTAAAATTTAAAGCATTTTCCATTGCATCTAAAATAGCAAAAACATTTCCAGCCATACAAATTTTAGATTAAATGTGCTTCTCCTGACAAAGCTTACCTTTCAGGCCTGAAACTGGCTGAGAGCATTCTTTCACATTTCATCCACCCACATGCAGTTCACTCAGCAGTTTTTGATTTATGCAGGGACTGAAACACAGAAATCTGTTCTGAATGCAGCTCGTTCTTGTTAGCCTATCACCACAGATTTTATTTAATTCAGAAAATACACCATTTCATAATTAACCTCAGAGTGTTCCCATAGTATTAAGGTAATTTCACGGATATTTTGAAAACTATAGGCCTTAGTAATTTTCTTAAGAGACGCTAAGCAAGCTGTCTCATTTAATTTGAGAAGTATTAACAGCACTTCTCGTGTAACAGAAACATCCAAATTTAGTAAGTTCCACTTGCTAAATTGGGTCCAATCTCAGAGATGTTCCACATCTACTTCTACTGAGTCGCCTGAGCTTTCTGTCATGGTTAATATTTGATGATTCCATTAAAAAACACAACCATTTTTATAATGGGCACATTTGGATACACTTAGCATCGAGAATCATGCATAAAGTTATCTGTACTGAGATAGTAAAATTTATACAGACAATTTTCAAAGGAAAATTATTGTCTCCTTATTGTGGGTTTGTTGGATCTATGAAATTTTATGGAAGTCTTGTGTAGCAGAAAATGTGGATTTGCTTCGGCTTGATCTTTTTTTAATTCTGGTATGTAGCACAAGATTTAATCACAACTGCGGTACTGAGAAAAAATTCTGAGGTACTCTGCACTGATGTGCTCCACCTTATGAGATGTGTGAATACAACATAAAGTTGCTTGAAGGCAGTGTTAAGCAATGTGTAACAAATACTATATATATACACACACTATATAATACAAATACTATATATATACACACTATATACATGTATATCCCCTAAATACATATATATAGGGTAAAAAAATCAACTGTTTTCCTGTTTTTTCTGACTTTTTCAGAAGAGCAATATCATTTATCAAAGCATCTGCTAGGGGAAGATATTTAAAAATTGTAACAAACAAGGCTTTTCCAGAATTACCTATGTGATGATTTCATGCTGCTGCCCATGATGAGTACTCTCCATCTGAGTCTCTCCCCCAGAAAATCAACCATATTATCATTCCCTGGTGAGCTTCATGGAGGATCTGTTATTTCTTCACGCTGAAGTTCAAAACTCTGCTTAAGTTAGAGTTTCCGTTTTCACAGGGAAAATGACTTCTACCTATTTTTCCTGAAGCATTGCCACACGGGTTTTGAATTTATTTACAAATGCTTAGTAATCAGATTTCACAAGCCTAAGCTGGCAGAATCTCCTTTATATAAACTACACAAGGTCAAATATATTCCTGAGGTAAATTCACTAAGTTGAGTGAATTTGGCTCATGTCTAGTAATTTTTACTTCCGGAGGACAATTTATAGCAATTATTACAAAGTTCTAATTATCATCCTGAATGCTGTAAGTTTTTGCCTGTCAAATATATTCACAAATTCCTATGTTTTGTACTGTTTCACGATTTATTGTTTCAGGTTGTGTACGACAAAGTCACAGAGCTCAAAGGCCGTCTCCTGAAGCTTGTTGTGAAAAGCAAAGGAACATTTGTGGGCGCTGTTAACATTCAACTGAGCAGTGTCCAGTTAAACGAAGCAAAGTGGTATCCACTGGGAAACAGTGTAATTTAAATGTTGTCTAAGATGATTCAATTATTTAACCATTAATGTTTCTTTTTCCCATTTCCCACGGGACATCTTCTCTCAGTTGCTCCTGAGAATATGCAGTCATCTGCTGATCACATACCTTAACATTTCCAATCATAAGGCTATTGTCTTAAAATTGCTACCACCTTCCTGCCACTGATTCCTGTCAGTGTGAGTAAGCAAGCACATTCCAAGAACCTGTAGCAGCATGAAGGAAATTCCTATGACAGCAATAAAGATTTTGGTTTGTTCGTATTAAATACTACTGTAAAAATACTAAATTCTGCACACATTGAGGTGTGGAGCTTAATTCTTCGCCCATTGATTCCACTGTGTCGAAAGCAAGCTGATAATGGTGTAGGTGTAATCCATCAGCATCAGCTATGACCTCACTGCACACGGTGATTTCACCGTAGAACCATGAGGTGGTTCCCTGGGTGCCAATCAGCTGTCTAGCAAACCCCCTGTCAAATCTTCCACAATCAATACATTTGTTAAAAAAAAGGCAATTAAAAGCTTTGCACGTTACACATTTTGTGCAGTATAGGCTGGTGTGCTTTTAACTGCTGATGTAATGTCGCCTTCAGTCCAGGGCATTCATTTGTCAACAGGATACGCCATTGCTGCTTGTATTCTGACATCCAAGGAGCAGATGGAACTGGCCCTTTGTGAGAAAGAAGGAGGAGGGAGAAGCTAATATTCGCGACTAAATAAAGCATATTGGATGTGAGCTTTCAGTGGGGTATTTATTTAAGGTCGTGCTATAAGGAGCCTTTGTTCCCTAATCTTACCGCGTGGCATTCTCGTGCTGCATGAGGGACTCCAGTCAATACATGCATTGACCGCAGGGCTATAAAATGTATATATACAATCTAAACACTGAACCTGAGTGGTTCCTTTGAGTTCACGGCGGCTAATTATGGGCTCTGCTCTTCAAAGCATTTTTACCTAGATTGAGGAAGCACTTAAGCACATCTTTAAACATTCAGCATGTGAGCAGCCATTGAACTGTCCATTATTGCCAGCCTTTTAAACACGCAGAGCTGACAGTGTATATATACCTTTCTAGGATCAAGGACATGTTTGTAAGGCACAGGAGACATGTTGATTTGGGATCTGTTCTGCTGGAAAAGTTTAAGTTACCATATACTGAGTAGGTCCGACATTTATCCTACCAGGTGGAAAAGTAGCCAACAGAGGGATAATCATGCCAGAAGCTGAAGATAATTGCCGCCTTCTCCCAGAGGACACTCACAAATCAGGCTTCAGAAGGTAATGTTGTATAAAGCTCCTGAAGTGGGACTAGGAGTGTTATTTAGGAAACTAAATAAGCTGGAGTTTTTCTCTGCATCAAACCAATTGACTCTGTCACTTGGTCAGTTTTTATCTGAGAATAGGTACACCGGATTGCCTGGGGAAATTAAACTCCTCCTCAGTAAGAGGAGGTGAGGGGAACTCTGCTAGAATATTAATATTATTAGCATTCTTCCGAGCTGGAAAAAGATAAAATATTTGCCACATGAAAATGATGCTGTCTAGCATACAGATATGATCACTACAAAGATCAGTAAGTGTAACATTTTAGGTTATAGGTTCTCCCGTGTGAAGAATCAAGCGAATTGTCACTCAAACGCCAAAAACACATTGAAGCCAACTTACAGTGTTATCAAATTTCCTGACCTTACAGTTCACTATTGATTTTACATTCTTCTTATTCTACTGTCTTGGTTTCCTTATTAGAGTTGTAATGCAATTTTCTAGTAGTGTTATTTCCTGTGACATTTTCTAATCATGGCTCACCGCATGCCCTGGTTTTCCATTGTAGAGCAACATTAAATAAAATAGCATTAAAATGGCATGAAATAAAAAGATTCAAAACATATAATATTATCAGAACCATCTGCAAACATAAGCAACACTTTTTGGTATTAATCAAACTATCAATATAATATTCTTTTTTTTAACAAAAAAAACCCCACAAAAACAAACCCATGCTCAGGTTTGAGTACTAAATCTGCAATTAACTGGGTAGATACCCTCCTGTGGAAGCCCAGCAATACTTCGGTTTTGTAAGGACAATGGGAAAATTTTGTCTTACGAGTAAGATTACACTGATAGCTATTTCAGGTTAGCTATGTCAGTTGTCCTCAGAGATCTTAAATCACACAGTCAACCCTTGCCTTTCCTAAAATTGTCCTAGTCCACCTCAAAGCTTTGCGTTTCCTGAGTTCACAGTAAATGTATTCCGAGCTTCCTGCTGCTATGAGGAACTTAGCTCCTTACAAATCAGTCCGTGAATTATTTGTCTTTCTTTAGCAGCAGGAGGCTCAAGACTAAATTAAGAAAAGGTACTGATATTAGCGTTTGAGTTTTCATCATCTTAAGAGGTGGGTTTTTTCTCAAAACTGTTTTTCCAGGTAGTAAAATTACACTGGACATTAAAGAGGTATAGCCCAATCAGAAGCTGCAGTTGTAAATCTAAAGGGTACGTTGCATGTGTAATTTTTCCTGTACCCGTGGAAGGATACAACAGTAAGATATTTTGTTCAATACAAATAAAAATGTCAATGTAACACACTCGTAGATTTTCAGCCTCAGATCATAAATATTAAAATATGGGTCTCAGTAATTAATCACCATTTTGAAATTAGCTGCAAATGAAATTATTAACTGTATTTTAAAAATGGCCAGCCTTTATGAATTAGTTCTAAATCACGGCAGGGCCAATGTCAGTAGCCATAACTTATTCAGGATACTCGCAAAAGGATTCCCGTTAGATTAATAAAATCATTGAGGACGTGCCGCTGTGGAAATCAGACCACAGGCTTGTTGCAAGACTAGTGATGTTCTTTATTAAGCAGGCTGTGATCTTCCAGAGCAACTGCTACTGCAGAGCAACATTAATAGTACCACACATGAACAAACAGCGATGCAGGTTCGAGATTGTCGCCGTCTTTGGACAACAGGGGAATGTTACAGTAACCTGTAAATGTAACAACACTTGATTAGTGTATTAACCACAAATGCAAACATTATGCTGGCATGTTTTTATGATCTACTATGCAAATAAGGCACAATTTATGACTCTCTAAATAAGTCTTTAAAATACAGTTATATAAAACCAAAATACAATTTCTACTGGTTTTCTCCTCTATATACACAGTGTTTCCATTCTGTCATTCTTGGACACAGAGTGAAAAACTCCGAAATCTTTCAAGGATTTGGTGTTTTTTCAAACTGAAGGTCGTTAGCCCAGTGATTTTTTTTAAAGAGTACATTTTAATATCCAAAGGTGTTACGTTCTGCACGCATTGTTCTGATAGCAAAGTAAATAACTTGTGAATGAACAGTGAGAGTGTCTTAGAGAAAAATGGTGTCACAGGAGTAACGTACTGTCCAGCTGAGGCAGAAAAGTGTCATGTAAGATCTTCTGCCCTGACATCTGAATTGTGTTAAGGATCTCCTTTTACATATGAGTGAATCCCAGTATTCAGAAACTACACGTTCATCTGGCCGTTGAAACATTTGGAGAAGCTGTAGTATTTAAGTAAGTATGTTATGAATAAGTATCTACGCTCTTTAAGTGTGTCTGAATGTGTGACAAGCCTTTGGAACCCTCACTTATTTGGGTTTGGATTTTCTTGATTCTTTCATGCAGTATGAAAGTTCACCTCGCATCTGAGGTTCAGCTTAAGGGCAGCTAATTAAAGCTAAGTCCAGGCCGTATGCATTTGAGATCAAATTTACAACATGCACACGGTATGTGGAAGTCTTGTTTTATTTCCTATCCAAAGATACACTTCAAAGACTAAGACTCCTTTCTAAAAGATTGTGTTCTAGCCCTTACCTACAGAATATTCTACAAAGTGTCCTGAGAGAGGTAAAACTTTTTTTTTATTGCAATTGTTCCAGTCTATCTGAAATAATTAGCTAGTCACTGATCCAGTGATACCAGCAGTAATAATTGAATTTCTGTCCCAAATTAGTATGCTACATGGCGGAGTCATTGGGACAGAGACTGTATGTAACCCAGGACCCACCTCCGCTCACCTCTGACCGCCCAGCTAGACAGTTATCCTCACCTGCAGCCCCTCTGTGTATACCCACTTCCTCATTGCATGAACAATCAAATACTGTGACAGCTGGGCAGTAAACATCCTTCCCCAGTGTCATCTACAGCCGAGTTGGGAGGCTGCTGCTGGGGAAAGGAAGGCAGTGATGCTCTACATTTGAATGCTTTCAGGAGCAACCACAGGGGAGGGTGGCAGTGGCACAACTTTGTCCCACAGCCTGTCAAAGAAAAAGAAGATGTAAGCACTGCTCAGCTTTTGGGAGCAACTTGCCCTGAGGGGGCACCTCAGGGATATGAATCCTAGGGAAGGAGGGACAGTCCTGTAGTGCAGAGTAAAGCAATCAGAGCTGTGAAGAGTAAGGTTTAAAGCCTAATTCACCTGTTAGCATAGTTAGACAATTCTTTCCTAAGCAATCTAGGCTGTGGTGACACCCTCTGTAAGACACATTATTTTCCCCTTTCACTATTTAGGGAACTTAGCAAAAGCATTGTTCCAAACTTGGGATTCAGATGTCTCAATGTTAAGGATTGCAATCCATTTTGAAATTATCTGTCAGTCCACCTCTTAGAAGCATTTTATTTATGCCTCTGGGCATCTTTTGGGGTTTTTTCTATATTATGTTAAGTGGGGGTTAGGACAATTTGTTTGGCACTGTCTATAGTTTTTGTACCTACACTTATTTCCTGGCATTTTTAATTACTCCACTAAAAATCTTTACTGTAGAATATGCATGCTTTTACTTTTCCAAAATACAAACCCTGCAGTTTTGCACTGAGATTAATCATACAGGCACATTAGAGACACACTGAAGAATTATACACACACAAAAATAAAAGCCCAAATGAATGGGTTTTGCAAGCATATGTAAACTCTAGTGTCTGCTATTTAAATTTGCCTCAGACATTGAAAGTT